CCAGATACAAGACCATGTACTACGAACCTTTTTAACAAATGAAGCGATCCAATGGAAATTTATCACTCCTCTTTCTCCATGGAAAGGCGGATTCTATGAACGCCTCATAGGCATTATGAAATTAACCCTTAAAAAAGTGATAACTCGCAAATTGTGCCCTGAAACAGACTTCGTCACCCTTGTGACAGAGTGTGAAGCCATGGTCAATTCACGACCGTTAGCTTCACACTCTGTCGGGCAGGTAGCACAGTCGAAGACTCACTCATAGTACGGCCAATCGATTTCCTCATCCCCTACACCAACATTGCTCCATTCCTCTGTCATAGAATAGATTCCGACAACGATGACTTAGATTCAACAAAAACACAAGCCATTGACTACTTTCGTAAACAGCTCCATATCCTCAAACGACTATGGAATACATGGCATTCCAACTACCTTCTCGAACTACGCAATTTCCATCAGCATCGCATTAAACAAAAAAGTTTTACTCGACAACTTCCACATCTTGGGGAAGTAGTACTCGTAATGGACGAGGACTTGCCTCGAACAGATTGGCCTCTCGGAATTGTCACCAAGCTCATACCCGACCAAGATGGCACTATCAGGTCCGCTACACTACGTACGACACGTTCAGAACTGGAACGATCAATTAATATGCTAATACCGCTTGAGTTAGATAATGACAGCCCTTCCGAACCATTACATCACAACACTACTACCGAAACCAACCCGGCCGATACGAACGCGGCAACTGACATTGCAACGGACGATACCGTAATCCCCACAGTCGATTCGTCAGTGCGCAGCGCGGACACGCAAAAATGCGCCCGACCCATGTTACCGCGCCGCGCTAAATTAAACAAAACCTACGGTAACTACTTCGTGACTACTACAACCGGTGAATCATCACATAGCGGATCGCAAATATGGAAACCTTGGCTCACATTAACAATAGCATTCATGTTATTTCAACCGAGATATGCCTTAACCTCCACAAAACCTCATTTACACTGCCACTGATGGAATTCTCATACGAATGTTGCAAAAAGTCGATCAACTCCAAGTCTGCGGAAATGACTACTGCATACAATTACATCCAACCTGACCAAAACTTGAATGTACAGTTCCCACCAGAAATCACGCTTCACAGCTACCACATTACTTTGAAATCATCTCACAAAATGCTACACAGGCTTCTCATTGGGCATGTCCACCAAGCCCATTTTGCGAGCAAATTAGCTGCAATTTCTGCAGCCAAATGGTTTCAAACCCGGAATGCTGGCCACGTATTGCGATCGCCGTTACGGCAACTCTTCTCTATATTATAATGGATCACCGCCTATATCACCTTTAGGACTCTGGGAAAGGTTTTAAGACTATGCGCACATACTGGACGTCGCTTAACCTCCTTTCCCGTCCACACTACGATCTTGGACACGCAGAATCCACACACGTCGACACTCACACGATGCCACCACCCTTTTGGAACTCGGTAAAGTAAGACGCCAAATGGAAATCAACGACGCTGGTAAGACTTATCACTATCTTTGCAATTTCCAGTCCGTTTGTTACGTGCTGTCAACAGACACTACTCATACCAACATCAGTAACACAATGCGACCATTCCAAATCAAACTGCTCTAACCATACCACATTAATTGCTCAGCTTAACCCTATGCAACCTGAACTATGCATTCAACTCCAGCAAGGAGCCACCAATTGCACTTCATGCGCATCTCCTTAGGCCCTTTAAATCTTAGATGTCGCAAGGAAACACTATACTTCACAAGAAACACCATTACGAAAGTTCAATACCAAAAACGATGTCCTCACATGGGCACGTGCACAGGCCTAAAATGCGCTAAAATTACCTTTAATTCACTAGTCGAGGAATTACTCGATGCTAATAATTATACGGGCATAACATACTGCTCTGAATCCTGTGGCGGTTTAGGCTGCTCTTGCGGCTATCCGTCATCAGGATGTCTTTTTTACAGAATCTACCATGTTCCCGTAGACGACAACATTTACGAAGTCTTCCAATGCCCATCATGGTTCGAAACAATATCGTTTCAGGTTGAACTTCACGGACCCAAGCATAGAGCGCACACCTTTGAATTAAAACCCTATACTACTAAACAAATCGCTAACGTCTCATTTGAAATTACTTCATTCACATTTACACCAATCTCACTACTCAACCAACGATTCTTCACAAACAATAACTCAACAGCCTTACGTCCCACCAAGATACGGAATTCAGTTACGCATGCAGTTCAGATCCACGTCATAATGACACGATCCATGACCAGACCAACTGTATAATCAAAGACACATGCAACTGCAATCCTGCAGAAGATTCCGTTAACTGCTATTGTACCAATAATAATGTCTCACGAATAACACAATTGCAGAATACGTTTCCCCTTGCCAATATTAGAAGGACTAGTATCCACATAAGGCCGCAACAACATACCTACCATTACTACACGGGCAGTATCCGTACATTCAATCACACCATAAAAGAAACTACGCAAGAAATCCAAAATTTTCAATGTCGCATACTGCCCCGACTATTCCGATGTTATAATTGTGTGAAGGGTTCAGTAGCAACTCTCTTCTGTGAATCAGATACAGTACACGCAACTGCTCCAAATCAGGACTCCAACAATTTACTTTGACTTGTACAAAACAAGGAACGTATAATCATATACTTTTATTCTTCAATAAGGCTCGCATCCAGGAAACATGTAGAGCACAATGCGGAAACATACATCACGATTTTCGAATTGCAAGGAACACTCAACTACGTGAACGGATTCAAGCCATTATGGCACTACATCCACTCATGGACAAGAAATACTTCCACCAATACTTCCTTCAATATCGAATTTGCATTCCCAGACATATCACATTTCCTCGATACCTGTAAGCAATTTTTCATATAATCTGCTATACTATTCGTCCTTATCAGTGCTATCATGACGAGCAACAGTATCTTCTGTTCGCAGCACTCCACTACAAACAGGGGGGAATAACCTCATTCAATTACTCTCGTACATAACACCATTTCGTATTATACTTTCTCGTAATACGCATTATTCGACGCATCTTCTCCTTCACCATCTACATGCTACGCATACCATTCCGTCTCCTGAGCAGAATCTTTCTACACTAACAATTCCATCACCCCGTTACCAACACACATCTCTACACACAAAGACCGTCTCCACAAACCAAACGTCAACTTGTCAACTTCAAATGGACAGCTCCACCACAACAGTCGATCCCTGTAAAGATCAACTATCACGTTATGTTTCCATGTATCATTTGTTTATTTTCATGTAGTTTCTCTCTCCTATATTTGTATCATTGATACTATGTAATGCTGTGTTTATATCTATGTTCGATCAACACTACTTTAGAGAGCAAGTCACACTGCGCCATGGACGGCTCACATACTACGAGGTTCAGCACGCCTATGTTGTGTTCTCTTTACGATTACGTTTATGATATGTATGATGTAGTAATACTTGTGTAATAAAGATTAGAAGTTAGAACTGTTGCCACATCTCTACCACTTGGAACCACGAAAACCTCACTGGGCCGTGATGCAGTCCAAACACCGGGTACACCTGCGCTCAGGTGAGCTACTTGAGCGACCCTACTCCTTATTGCCCCACCTTTCAACTTTCTCACGCGAACCTGTGACGCTGTCCATTGTAGCCCACGCGATTCAATTCTTACTCAATTCAATACTCGTATATATAGGTGCCTTGATGTAGTTCTATTCGTTGCGGATGAGAGGCGTGCCAAAGTAGATGGTCTTTACTGACACGCCAGCTTTTTCTTTTTTGTGGCAAACGTTAATGTATCGTGTCGCTTGTATATGTCGTTCTACGCCAGTTGTTGTAGGTTGCCCGCTCGAACAACTGCTGGAGAACGGGCTGGCTTTGTGCCAACCCCAGCATCAATGATGACCCCTTCATCCGCGGCAAATAAAACTGCAGCAGGCCTCAGGCATTCTCATGATGCAGTTCAGAGCGACAAGGTGGTGAATCATGCGCGGTAGACCTACTCCATGCACGGGCGGAGAACTCTACCATACAATTAACCGCGTATTGCCCGTAATGCACAAATGCTGAGGTTGCATGTTGTTTGGTTGAATAACAAAAGTATGCTGATTGTCTTTTCAAGAGACGTATTGCCAGTGACTAATAAAGTTACCTTTTGTTGCGTTGAATGAGGTGTTCATCTAAGCCACTTTGTTCGTGGTGTTTCTTTCACAAATGCTCTTCAAACTTACATTCAAGGGCTACTAATGTACAGCTGCGAAAAAAAAACTTGGAACAAACCACAAAATCGCGTTTCAACAGTTCTGAAGCTCTTATTCAACAGCAAAACAGTGGAAAGGTAAGCAGATAGCGGGAATTCAACAAGAAAAAATTATCAGCGCCTGAATTTGGTTTGCTTACTACTGGACTTGATTAGAGCCTTCATCATGCGTGGAAGGCTCCAAAAAGCTTCAAGGGTACCCACAGTTATTTGACTTCAAATTCCCTGAGTTTCTTGGAACTGCTCAGTCGTGTTAGTGCTCTTCCTTCCTTTGGCACATGCTTCAAGTCATCTCAAAGATGCCTGATGGAGTCGAGGAGCAGACCTCTATCATTATGTCATTCTGACCTTGGGTGCAGGGATCTGGATCTCGCAGACTTTTTGCTTAGGTTTATTTTTAACTGATTTGAGAACAGTTCTCTCATGCACACTTCATCTGTATCCATGATTTTCGTTGCACAAGTCAAGGGAAATCAGAAATAATTTTAAAGAAAATTCTGGTTTTCCTCAGCTAAGTTTTTTTCCGCAGCTGTACATATCACGAACATGGCATCCATTTCAGTTGCGGTTTTAGACACTGGGGCCACACTTCTGGTCCTGCGTCCAGGTTACTTTCAAAGGAAAGCTGAAAAGAAATCCAGAGAAAGAAGTAGCGGCGAAGTAGAAGTAGCGAAAAAGTCTGGTATCGAATGGCACCATTCGTCATTTAGCATTTTCATACATAATAGCAGATCTGTATGTGCATGACATGTTTGTAATCAGAACTTTGAATCACCCTATCGGCAAAGAAAAAGGTGTTACAACTTCAGAATCACTAAAACACAAACAGCAGAAGAATTCCTATTCCCCATTATCAGTAATGCACGCGCCGCTCACAGCCGCGACCTGACAGTCCGTAATGATGAGGACTGTACCTGCTACTTGTACGCACGAGTCACCCTAAACGGAACTAGCGGAACATGAAGGACAATCATGCGAGGGATGCAGTGCTCGAGGTTTCGAGGATTTTGGGCGCGACAGATCAAATCCGCCTCGATATGAAGCTCAGTGAAAATGCATGATGTCGTTATGTTTCATGCTCATCGAACTGAAGAAGACCTTTGTCTCCACTGATACAGAAGTGGTCATCGGGTTATAGGGCATTGAGCATGTTCCTAGAGCAGTACATGAGGATTCATTGTGGGCTCGACGTGAGACAACTCTCGACCACGATCTCATCATTCTAGGAAGGGATCATCATAATGTCAAAAGAGTTGTTCGTTACGTTGACACTATTTCGTCAAGCTCTTGAGAGCGTCATGCTTCAGTTGGAATGGGAAGACATGGGAGTGAAGGTCGACGGTCGGCAACTACACCATCTCCGCTTTGCTGACGACATCGTTTTGATAACGCCAAACATCGAGCAAGCAAATAACGCTGAGCGATTTCGACTATGCCCGTCGAAAATTCGGTTTGCAGCTGAATCGTACGAATTCTGTATCCACGAAGAACGCAATGGTTCTGATGCCCCATTCTCGCTCAACTTGATCGTCATCGCTAAATGCTCTAGTCATGTGTGCCCGGCTAAGAATGATGATTACGATGAATGGCTTGGAACCAGAACTGACCATGAGCAAGAAAAACCTGTGGCTGGGGAAGCGTTTAAGAACATCGAGAAAGTGGAGCAGAAGATGAGGTTCTCGACTCGGCCCACACTTTTCATTTCCACACTCCTTTCTGCCCTGAATGACGTCTCAAAGACTGAAGCACTTCTCCGGGTGCAGCATGAACAGGTGGCCAGCATCATTCGGTGCCGACCACATCCACCGTCGGAAGCGCGATACTCCCGCTGCACGCAAGTGAGAGAAGGAATACAGAACTCCGCATTTGATCGCGATTGAAGATCATGGACGCATACGCAACTGCTTGTCAAGGTTCCAAAGATCAGATAGGCCGGACATGTCATGCGTTTCGATGACCGCGGAACCACAGCCATGACAGACGAGAATACCAAGCGAACGCTTGGACCCACTTACGCGACGGTCAAACTCAGTCATGAAAGCTCTGAAAGTCTGGTATGATGCGTGATGCTCATCCCATCCTTCAAGCGCAAAGAATCTATTGGGCATTCGTTGCAGGGACGAAAGGAGACTGGCGCCCGCGAAGACAGCTCCCAGTCACACCTCCCTGCGGTCTCTGTGCAACCCCTGGCTCACAAATCCCTTTATCACATCTCCCAGTAGTGGATATCATCCAATGCAAAGAAAAGAATACGAAAAACAACAAAAACACGGAAGAAAAACTCTTGAAAAGGAAAAAACTTCAAAAACGGCGTCCGAATTTAGGGTACGGTAGCGTGCATCTTTTAGTGTAGTGTAATACATCGAGCTTGAATCGTGATTTTACGTATTTCACCTTGCGAGATGGGTTGGAGTTGACTGTATGTGCTCCTAATGAATAAAATGTAATAAAGGAGAGCAGAATCATTCATGGGCACGAGCGCGGTCAGCAAAAAGGCATGCATTCCGATTAATGCCCGCCGCCCCAACAAAGAACAACTGAGCGGCCCTCCGTCAGAGGGCATCTAGCAAGTGGGCGGTCCAACTGGGCGGGCGTTAGAACTAGAACTTTCAGCGGCTGTAGCTCGCTCCTCGCTCGCTGTGGAGTCAGAGTGTGGTACAGTATTTGAGGCTGTATTACTTGCATAAGAAAGGACGACCATATACTATTTAGGCGTGGGGGCTGTCTTTGAGCAATTATATGATCAACGGGGCCCAGGGATAGAAATGATTCCTTTTCTGATACCCCTTGTTTGAGTAACTACGACTTTCTTGTGTTTTTGTTTATTTGTGGAATAGAAAGCAGCGACAGAATAGAACATTAGGTTAATGATTTTGTGATCGCACTAAACATCTGTGGATCTTTTCCTGTTCGAAAAGTACCCGATGTGGTTTTGGTCAGACGCGAGCTTTCATAGTTCACACTTAAACAACCATGACGTTTTAAAACCCATTTATTCGCGAAACTAATAACTATTCGACAAATTCAACTGGAAAGCAGAATTGCTCCGCTATTGGGAAAGCATTAACTTTCACTGAAAATCGGCTAGTCAAGGGGTGGATTTTGGGTTTCAGGTGGATTTGTAATGGCAATCAAGTAATTCTGAGTCATTCAAAAGCTCAAACGCTTCATATCATCGCCAAGAACTCATTTAAGAGCTTTAGTATGCCTTCGAGGCGCATCGTCTTGTTGAACTGGGAGAGGTAATAGTTTTCTCATCATGGAGTGGTCTCTCCTGTGCGAGCACTACGCATTCTGTTCCTACATGGTATGGTACCTATCTTCCCTGTCTTTCTTTCTCTTGCTCTCGATTTCTTACTCAGCCCTGCCCCAACGACCCTTCCCCAATGGTATTCCTCCCAACTCAACCCTTTCCACACAGAACTCAAAATTTTCGTGGTTATTGGGGTGAAACCGCAGAATTAATCAAATAAAAAGAAGGTTTGTGATGTCGTCCATGACAACAGCAAAATAGGAGTTTTCATTCTAACTTCAATCATAAGGATGATATGTTTGTATTGAATGATTTGTTCGTCTGAAACCATTACTCTGACAGGTATGCATACATAACGAT